GATTCAGCACAAAGCAATAAACACTCAGCAGTGCCTCGGCTGCAGACAGCTGGGTCCCTGGATCCCAAACACAACTGCTTTACAACCTGTTTACAACCTGTTGGAACAAGCTGTTTGCCTGGCACAGAGCAGCTCTGTGCTGAATTATTCACTGTGCAGTGCCCAGCTGGCTGATGCTGGTGACATGTCCRGTGAAATCCAACCACCTCACCCTGATCAGAAAGAACTCTCTGGGGTTGTTTCTCTAGGGAATCGAGTTCTGGGTAATGGGATCACATCCCAGCCTGTCCCTGCTCTCCCCAAGGGATAATAATAAAGCCAAGGCAAGATCTTCTTCGTTTAGTGCACTCCCTTTTGGGTCAGTTTGGGTCAGGATGGGGTGAGAATGAGCAGGAATCAGAAAAGGTAATTTGCTCAGAAGAACCCACAGCAGACACCATAGAAGGGAAAGGGTCAAGGTTTCAAAAGAAATTAAATTAAATTCTAGCCCTAATTGCATGGCAGGAAGATTCAACTCTTACAATTCTGGTTACTCTGCCTTAGAAAGGTTTTTAGTGCATCTTCAGCTGTGGAACAAATCCATTGGAAGCAGAACCTGGAAGGGACATTGAGGTCAGCTCTCATTTCCCTGCTCTGAGCTGGAACATTTCAAGCTATCAATTGTTTCCAAAATTGTGTGTTCATGCACAGGTGCCAAGGGAAGAGTTAARGTTAAAATATTATCAATTTCCAAATGTCAAAACACATCACTGGAGCAGGGTCAGCAACACATAAATCAGAGAACGATGGCAACGGAGAGGAATCCCATTTCAAAAATGAACAGGACCTGGAAAACAATCCCAGAAACAACGTGATAAATCCTGTGAATCAACACTTGTCAGRGTGTTATTTGTGTGGTTCTGTGGCTCAGCCAGCCATGAGTAAAGCTCCAGCTGAACCTGGGGGCTGTTTCCCTGCTCACAATTGTGTTGATTGCTGCCATGAACCTCGTGCAGAGTTAATCACAAATTCTGCTCCTTTATTTATCCCTTCAGCCCTGCACCAGCACTGTGTGGGGAGCACACAGAGGAAACTCCCAGCACCTGCAGTTATTGCTGTAAATGCCTGAATGGGCCTTGCCAGAAAAAAAAATAATAAAAATTTCTCATCAATTAATTTTCTCAAATGTTTTTCTAACTTGAAAGGGGTTAGGCCAGCTAAAGAAAAGAGGGGCATGTAGGAATTGAGGCAGGAGCTGCCCAGGTGGATGTTAAAGCTGATTTTTGCTCACAGCAGAGTCCCCAACTTGGCAGAGTTCTGGTCCTTTATCAAACACTCCAGCTGCACCAGTTAAATTCTTGCCACAAAATCACATCAGAGAGCTTTAAAACCTCAGAGCACTTGTCAATTTTCTGATTTGAATAGTTTAGGGGAGCTCACTTGTGCTGGGGTAACACAAAAGTGATTTTACACCATAAATCCATCAGGGTAATCCGTCAGGGCGTTGCCAGCACTATTGATGTGGTCTGGGATGGAGTTTGACTTGAAAGATGAAGAGGAAATTAAGTGTAAYAGAGTGATAATGGAATGATCAATGCTGCAGCATTGCTGGAAAGGAGGAGATTCTGTCTGGGGATGTGAGKGAGGTGAKGARTCTGATCYGAAATGCAAAGAGAAATGGAAGYCATTAATATGGCWGAGATAACATTGGGGCYTTACAAACAGAGCAGGGAAAACAAGAAGGATGAGATGATGTCCCAGACTTTCAAGAGAGCATAAATAGTTCTGAAATTCCCTTTTCTCAGTAGCCATGGTTCTCTTTTTTTCTCATAAACATTGAGTGTGCAGAAGGATTTCATGGAAAAGTCCTTTTCCTCTAGCACTCAAGTAGCCTGGATTGGGAACCAGAAACCTGTTGTCATAAAAAACTCTTTTTTTTTTTGTTATTAAAAGTCTGCTTTTGGGAAAAAAGTCATCAGCTTGGGACAAGGATTTTCTTTTTAATAGGATTTTCTGCAGAAGGAGTCTTCACTCAGCTGGAAAATTTATGCTAAGTATAACAGCCCTCAGATTCTTCTTCCATGAATTTTTTTTTGGTCATAAATGTTGCTGAAAATTGGGCAGGAAAATCTTTGTGTGCCACCTTGGGAACCCTCCCCAGTAGAAGGACTGGCCTCTGTGGCAGCAATGTCTGCAATGTTCTGTTTGGCYAATGCCATTTTGAATTTTTGATGATGTTAATAGTTCCCATAAGGGAAAACGAGACTTCTGAATGTCTGATTACCACAGGATGTGGCATTTATTATTTATTCTGCATGCTTTTGATAAACATCCTCATCCTGGTGGGTTCCAGTGCTTTTATAGGATGTCAGGTCCTCAGGAAGTCATTATGGGATTCTTTTGGGATCTCCATCTATTCCCCATCCTCCCATGCATGTAGGAGTTTCAGTGTCCCCCCAACTGTGTTATTTTGACTTTTTGCAAAGCCCAAGGGATGAATTTCTGCCCTCTGGACTTTTTTTTAGCAGTCAGCGAGGTCCTTGCTGATCCATTCTCTGAAATGTCCTTAGCTGCTTTCCTCAGTAATATCAGATTTTGAACCAGATAATGGGATTGCCTTATCCCAATCATATGTTTTAAAATATCTTKTGGGGTCAAAATTTCATTATTTTGATCTTCCCTTGACCATTATATGAACTCCTGCAACGCACCGTGGCTCTTCTACAAAATTAAATTGCTTAGCAGTGGCTTGCACCAAATCTTTTTATAATTTCCTTGAAGAGTTGAGAGCTAAGACAGGATCTTCTAAAATTCCTTTTCCATGTAGTAAACTTATYTCTTGGCATTGCCATCCATTCAGATGCTGCATCCTTTACCTTTGTTTTTTATTTAATCTTGAGCTGAGCTTGRAGCCATTCACAGGACAATCAGCATTTGGTTTTTACATTTCTGTGGATTCATTGCACAGAAATTTAATTCTCTCAATATGTACCCAGAGTGAGCCATAACAGCCCTGTAATTGAGAGCTGCAGCAGTTTGAGCWCCAGCAGAGCAATTCTGTTTGTGGTTTAGGGGGTGACAATCTCTACATTGTCCTCGGTGCTCTGAAATTGGCACTTTKGGTCGAAACAGGAAGTTTTGAAGCAAGCAGAAAAGAATTGAGTTGATATTTGGAGGATCATCTGGACAGGGAAGGCRGCCACAGTTTGGGAGATTGGTGGAGTTGTAAAAGCTTTGGATGAATGGGAATTTTCAGGGGGCACTCAGAGAGTTCTCACGGAGCTCTTCACCATCCCTGCCCTCCCCAGGTTTCATTTTCAACCCACTGGGAATGAATCTCAGTCCCCCAGTCTGTGACTGAACAAATCTCTGTAATTCATTGCATTCAAAATTAGAATTTTTTGGGATTTTCCTCTATTTCCCTTACTTTTATAACAGTTATTTGTCCCTTCTCATACTGGACGCAGCCTAAACCCAAACTCTGCAGCGTTTTCACCACAAATCTGGATTTGTCAAGCACATYATTTCACATCTGCATTCCCCTCATTGTTACCATCCCTTCCCCTCGTGAAGCATCCACAGGAGTTAATAAAAATCCCACAGAGCTGTTCTAATGATCCCACATCTTCAAAATGAGCAAGAAATAAATTACAGCAGGAACCACACTAGGCCRATGACATGATTTAACTGAGCTGAGTCCTTGAAGAATTAGGCTGGTGATTATGAGAAGTGTCTGCTTAAATGAGGTAATTTGAAATTAAGTCTCTTTTCTGTATCTCCTTAGCACAGTCTATTGTTCAGGGTCTGTGGCTCAGGTTGGTATCTGATGTTTAAATCAGCATTTCCCAGAGTTCTCCTGATGAGTTTTAAGTAATTTGAGACCCTTTCATTCTTGAATAGCTACAATTGCAGCGAGATTAGGGAGCAGAGCGGTTAAAATGAGTTTTTTCCATTGCTAAAAAAGATACTGGTGCATAATTCAGAACTTCTCAAAGGAGAAAACAATTTAAAAGGCTGGAAGGCTGAAAGGAATGCACCTTGAGAGACTGCCTGCTGTCCAGAGCAGGGATTCCAGATCCTGCAGGCTGCAGTTCCCTTTGCTTTTTGAGGATTTTCCCCAGGGATATCTCCCAGATCAAACATTGCAGGGTAAAAACAGGCTGGGSAGAAGAAAAGCAGTGAGAGCTTGGACGTTCTGCTCCATGCAGCTCACCCATTGTCACTCAAATTGCAACAGAAATTGTGATTTAGGTTTTTCAGGTCTCTGCCTTTTACTCCCTCCTAATAGAAATCATTAGGCAGTCACTGAAATATCCCATTTATCACAGTAAATTTAGATTGCTGGTGGCATGAAGTTCTGTCACAGGGTCTGGGTCATGGCTGCTGCCAAGCACAGAGCTGTTCTGGCTGGGTGAGGGGGCAGAAAGCTGGGTTATTATTATTTATAATAGTAATTATTATTTTTATTATGCTGTTATTGATATTATTATATTATTATTTATTATTAAAATTATTGTTATATTATTATTATATTTTTAATGCTATTGTTATTATTTTTTCTTCTTCTTACTATTATGACTATTATTGCTACAATTACTATTATTACTATTATTGCTAATAATAATAATAGTTGTTGTTGTTGTTATTATTATTATTATTATTATTATTATTATTATTATTATTATTATTATTGTCTCTCAAGGCTGGTGAATAAAGCCCAAATTTTCCAGCAGCTGGGTGGGCAGGAAAGCATCCAGGAGAAGTCTCTGCCTCTTAACTCTGAGGATGAATTCAGGGTGAAACCTTCACGCTTTTGCTTGGGTAAATCAGAAGTGTTTGAGCTCTTTTAGCCATTCCAGATTGWTTCACCCTCCAGAATCAGGCAGATCAGGTTTAAATTCCAAGTTTAGCCATTTTAATCTGGAATGAAATGCATGGATAGGAGTTGTTAATTTGTTTGTCTCGCTCTGGCTTCTCTTGTTACRAGGCTGCTTATCAGAAATAATAAATCCACTTTTTTTTTTCTTCTGGAATGCTGGCAAGGTATAATTATATCATGATTTATTTTACAGCACGGAGATGGGGGACTTGAAATATTTACTCAGGAAAAATTAGAAACCACAGAGAGCAATCAATCATTCACAACTGAAGAACTGGAATTCCTTCTGTGGCCATTGAGTAAAGAAAAAATAAAGAATAACCCTGTTATTGGGACCTCTGACAGAGGCAAGGAATAAAATTCATAAAATTTTTGATTTCTAGTGCCCTTTCAGTTGAGCCTTATTAATGTATCTCACCCTGAGTAAAAGCCATAGTAATGCAGCTTTTTTAATGCCAAGGACACAAGGGATTTGTAGAAATGGTGACAATTTGGGACCCCAGTTACAGAGCTATATGGCATCTTGTTGGGTTTTGTGATTTTTTTTGTCACTGGTCAGATCTCCTCYAAAAAATTCCAGTTGTGTAAGGTTGTTTGGGTTTTGGTGAAGGGTTTTTCCACTGATTTTTGCCTTTGGTATTTCCCTCTTCTCCAGGCCATGCTGGACATTCCTGATGGATTGCTGTCCTTTTTTGAGTGTTTTCAGATCCCAAACAGTCACTGCAGCTTTGGATGAAAACAGAAAAAAATTCTTACAGCATTTAATTATGTGGGGAGAAAAAAATGGATTACAAATCCTCAATGTTTTCAGGATAAAAAACTGCCCACCATGGAGCTGTAATGGATGGCAACCAAACTGATTGGAGAAAGAACAATCAGTCTGCCCTCTGAAAGAATTATCCCCATTTTCAAGCCTGAATTTTCAAGTAACTGTAGATCAGCATGCAGAAAATTATTTTTCATATCTAATTTATGCTCAGTAAAAGGATCATAAAATTCTCCAGATTCTGCTGCTTCCAATTTCCAGCTGTCTSAGGAAGACTAAGGATTGCCACCATAACTCTAACTCTTGATGTGTGTTTAGTTAACAAAACACTTTGTTACATCACTCCAGAAGCCTTGACATTAATAGTCAATTCTTCAGCTSCTTTATCCAAGTGAATGGTGAGCTCAAAATAATAAAATACCGTGGAATCGGTGTCGGYCAAAATGATTATTCAGAGAAAATTTAAATAAGTGAGCAGGCAGATAAYCAGGCCTGAATCACAGAGTGAGATGAGGTGGAAGCCATTCCTATTTCATAATTTTGTAATTTCATTATTTCATCATCTCATAATTTCAGTGGGTTCTTGGGGTGGTTTTTTTGGTAACATGTTAAAAATGAGACATGGCTTTGTCATTGTTCTTGTCCCCTAAAAACGAGATGCACAGGACAACCTCACACAGCTCATTTTAGAAGTTATTCTCTAAATAAAAAAGTTGGTTTTGTTTATTTTAGTGGAGTTCTGGTTTTACCTCAGCTGAGGATGTGATGGCCATTTCCTTGGATTTCCCACCAATTCCTGCAAWTGCAATAATGAATGTGAATGGAAAATTCTGCCTGTGTGGGTTTTGAGATGTGCTGTGTGTGGAAGGACTCTCAGCCCCATCCACCCAACAAATGCAGGTGCATTTTGGCCAAACCCCCCTGGAAATGATGCTGTTCTTACCTTTGATTTTGGAAAGCAACAGTCACTGAAATAAGAGTGCTGCTTGTAAAATTGAACAGAGCTTCTGATTTCGGATCTGTTAGGAAAGTTATTTTCCAATGGAAAAACACAATTCTGCCATTTTTATTCAGAYTGCAGGAGCTTTTCATCTTCCAAACTGGCTGTTTGCAAACAGGAATAACCACTRAGTTCTTCCTCACTTTTTTTATTCTTGCTCCTCACCCCAGAGGAACATTTTCCAGATTTTCCTGTCAACTTGAGCTCTGGCATCTCCCTGCAGGTCAAACATAGCCCGTCCTTGCCTCTCTTTCCCTGAGAAATTCATTAGGGAATCACAGAAGAGCTGTGATAATTAACTGTGAGTGACTTGCAGCAGATGTTGAATTTTGTAGCACTGATAGTTTTGTACTTTGAGATCTGAAATTCTGCAAGAAGCCTCGTTCATTACCGAGGAGTGGTTACCCTCGTTTTGAGGAGCTCCATAGAGGAACTGAGGAGATGAGTTAGCAAGTGAATATATGAGCTGATTAATAAAAATTCCACAGCAGCCCTTAGCCTGGAGCATCCTGAATTTAGAGCCAGCTCAGGCTCTTGATTATTTATTCAACGATGCTTCAACACTGAAATCACAAATCCAAGAGGCTTCCCCTGGGTTYCCTGAGCCCTGATGGGGTTTTTGTTCCTCAAAAAGTGCTACAAGTCAGGTAGCACGAGTGGGATGTGCAGGAGATGGGGAGCAAAGGAAAACAGACATAAAAGGAACACGGATTTTTAAACCTGTTGTAATTTTCCTAATCCCATCGAGGACGGTGTTTTGTGCACTTTAAGTGGTTTTAACATTTTCCTCCTGCAGATTACAGGGATATGCAGGGACAAAGAGCTGTGTGCTGCAGGCTGATGAGGAATATTACAAATAATTAATTCAGGAGGTCCAGGCTGGCTCTGTCCTTCAGCTCAAGGGGATGTCCTGTGCTGCTCCATCCTTTTTCACTGCATCCCTGCCCGAATTTCCCTGGGGCACAGAGCTCCCAGTGCCAACTGCTGGGTCCAGAATTGGTCACAACCTCCCAGGGGATATCCCCAGCTGCCACCGAGCTGCCTTGGATCCTAAAGAAGGGCCTGACCCAAAAAATCCCCAATTTTAGCAGCTGCAGATGTTTAATTGGGACTCTCAGCAGCCTGGGGGGAAGGAAGCAAGACATCACTCAGACATGAATTGGAAATGTTTTGAACTTTGCTCTCTTCTGGAAAAAACCTTCCCAGGGCTGTGATTTTTGTGCTGCTCCTGTTCTAGGTGGGTCTCCCCCACTTGGAGAGGAAGTTTCTTCCTGTGCAGGAGAATATTTAATGGAAGTTTACAGGAGATCTGCTTAATAAGTGGCATCTCTTTGTCGTACAGCACAATAAATAAATTCCTCAGTGCTGCTGAAGATATTTATGCATTTCAAAGGCTATTTTAGACCATTTTTGGAACTTTCTGCATGAATTGAGTGCCAAACTCCTGGATTTTTTTTTTGCTGATAGCTCTCCAAGGTCCCTTAAATGCTAAAATCCCTTTGCAAGACCCAAAACTTAAGCCACCTTTCCAAATCTTATGCATTTTGTAGGAGTTTCTCTGTGTTTTATGTTACCAAAAAGTGTATTTATAATTTATCRTTTCAGTCCTGAATGCCTTTGATACTGAAAGAGAATTTGGTGGGAGATGTTGCTGAAAATGTGATAAATRTAAAAACCTGATGTAGGATTGTAGTGGGAGGTTGGCTCTAAACTCACCATCTTTCTAATATTAAAAAAAAAAAAATAACATTATTTAAATATCTTGATAAATTATCACTTTTTCACAGCTTTTTTTGACATGGCACCTTTTCAAACTCTGCAGCATTGTGACTTCAGCCTTTTCCAGCTGTGTCAGACTCTGACCACCAGTGCAAAAAGACTTGCATGATTTATAGAAAAAATCATTATTATTATTATTATTATTATTATTATTATTATTATTATTATTATTATTATTATTATTATTACTATTATTGCTAAATTGTCAAAAACATTACCAACACCACTGCTTCCTGACCCCCAATGTTCTGTACACACACATTCTAGAAAATGCATTTTTTTGCACGAGGTAAATGTGGAAAAAAGTCACCTATTGATAAAAATGTCACCTTAYCAAGGCAGTTTTTGAGAACCTGGGGATCCTTTTTCCTAAAAAAAGGAAAAAAAGCCTTTTGTCCTACTTTTCTAGAGATTAGCTTTTGTTTAATCTTCCAATCTTCTGCCATCCTGCATCACTGACAGCTCTAATAGCAACATACTACTTAATCCTGATGAAACATGTAGTGATAATTCAGCCTAAGAAACAATTGGTGCTTTGCCTTTAGCTGCCAGCTAAAAGCTTGGGCTAAACTTTCTGCTTTTACAGGGAAAAAAAAAAAAAAAGAAATGTGGAGGGGTTTTCCCTCTTTTTCTGATTCCCCAGTAAATTCTCTAATCTTATATTCTCAGTTATTTCAGGCCTCTCCATCAYAGATGGTTTTTACTGTGTTTTATTTTATATTCTCTTAGAGCAGCTCAAAGGTCCACCCTTCCAGTTCATCTCTAAACAAATAAGGAAATAAAACCTGTTCATTACAGGTGGTGTTTATACCTAAAATTYTGATCTCGCTGCACATAAATCAACWACATTTGTTGTCTTTGGAGGAGAACAGCTGTTTTATAAAATAAAAAAACCCAAAAACAACAAGACCAGACAGAAAAAGGTCTGCAAAATGTCATTAATGCTTTGTGATACGAGGAAATATTTTTTGAAGAGAGAAAGTTCATAATAAATCACTCTCCCCTCTTCAGCTTTTGCAGTGATGGTGAATTCCTGCTCCAGACACTCATCCTCTCTCAGGTACCACACTCAGGGTGCATTTTGCTGGACCTACAGAGGAGAAGTGAAGAGGTCAAACCTTGATTGAGTATTTTCAGCAGCCTCACATGCAGCAAAAACCTATGGCCAGGTTGGGGTGATGATCAAAATCCTGTTTGCTCTTGAACTCCCCTTTTGTTTTGTAGATTTTTTTTAATCTGGTTGTATTTCAGCAGAGATTTATCTGCAGAGGAAAGACTGAGGTCTAAAGATCAATTCTTCTTGTTGTTTCTCTCCACCCACCTTTTCAGCAGTAATTTGTTTGCCTTTCCCTGAGTTTGCACACATTGTATTTGCATCTGGAGATKATGAAATCCTTGACTGATTTTTAATACTCCTGTAATTTGGTCCACTTGTTCTCACCCATGAAAAGAGAAGTCATTTGTTTCACCAGGAGCTCTCAGGAAGCTTTTCAGCTCTTAGCTGGAGTTTCCGTTCTGGAAAGGCACACATCAGTGACCAAATCTATTTGCTGTGAAGGAGGGCTGGGACTGAGCTTTTTGTGCAGTTGGAGCCTTTTTTTTTGGGTCCCTTAAGAGCAGGATCCATTCCTGCCCTCTGGATAAACCTGAATAAACCTTWATGTTAATTTGCAATCCTTTCCTTCATGCTAAGCTACCCAAAGGATTTCATTGTTCATTGGAAATGCTCTCAGAAGCTCAAGGCAACCTGTGAAACCTTGAGCAGSTGAAGGATGTGTCCAGTTGGGAATGAGTTCAATGCTCTGCTGAGCCTGGAAATGTGCTCAGGTTTGTGTGGCTTCTGCTGCTTTCTCAGGAAAAGGAGCTCAGAGCTTTGTTCTGCCTCTGCTGGGGACAGGGCAGAGAAAAGCTCGGCTGAAAGGAGATGAAGGAGGGGAGAACTGAAGATAAAGGCAGAGCACAGATCTCGAGGTGATTCTGGTGTAAATCTGAGTGTTTGGAGCACCAAAGGAAGAAAACAGAAAAGCTCAAGTTGGAAATGTTGTTGGAAATCAACATGTAATGAGAGACGAGGAGGAATGGCTTTAAACTGAGAGACTGAGATTTAGATGAGACCTAAGGAATAAAAACTTCCCTGTGAGGGTGGGCAGGCCCTGGCACAGAGTGCCCAAAAAGCTGTGTCTGCCCCTGGATCCCTGGCAGGGTCCAACTGTGTAACAACTGCTGTGTAACAACTCAGAGCAAGGCACCCTTGTCGCAGTTTTACTCAGAAATACATCATTCTGTGAACAAAACAGAGTTTTAAATTCTGCAGGAACATTTCTCAAACTCTAAATCCCTTACAGGATAAATCTCTTTGACCTTCAATTTTTCCTCAGATATCTTTGTATCAGCATGAAATGAGTTTAATTTGTTGGAGCATGCACGCTCACGCCCTAATGAGCTGATAACATATCTTGATCAGCTCTGGAAATCGCTGCTCTAAACCCTGCCAGCCCCACTCAAGGTATCGACCCCTGCATCCCACTTGGAATTACAGATGAAGTGCCTTCAGCCTATATGGTTTCACCCTCTCTTTCCTAAAAATATCCTGTAAAAATCATAGTAATTGTGCTGTAGGACTCTATTCATGAATCTCGTTTTCTTTAATCATGAGCTCGTAGCTTCTCATCTCTCTGAAGCTTTGAAATTTCCTGGAGTTTGCAGTCTTCCAGCTGAGCTGATTTTTTGTGAAATTCTCATAAAGGAGTCTCTCAGAGGCAGAAGAGCTGTGAATAATTTGGAGTGGAACAGCTCAGAAAGCTTTGGGACAGCCAGGTGAAGGTAAAACTGATGCAAACACAAAAGATTTGGAAATGCAGATCCTCAAGGCTGAAGTCTGATCGTTCCATGCTTTGTGGCTCTGGTGAAGGCAGTTCAAAATCAGTGATCTGCAAGTGAAACTTTAATTAGAAAATGTTAATGGTTATTTCCTTAAAAGAGGGTGTAAGACCC